ACTGTTTCTAGGGACGCTGACACTTTGAGTTTGCTCGCCTGACTCGCTTCGTTTTACATAACATTCCTCGAAGTCATATTTTCATCGGGCACAGATAACAGTTGTACAAAATCTCTGGCCTTTGGCACTGTGAACTAATTGATGTTTACGTCGGGACTTCAATTGCTTTAAACTGCCGCTGCATCTAGAAAGTTAAGTGAACGTTCGCTCTTCTACGCTCTAAAATAAGCAGTAACTCCATTTGGTTGGTGGCATTTGATGTGAAGGCTATACAATCATACAGGTCGCTGGCCGATGAAGGCTATGCCAGCTCACGGACTGCTAAGTCGTTGTTCGAGCGCGGAGCGACAGGGATGCTTTGATAGTGTGACTCCGACAGTTGGGATGTAATGACTGCCTTTTGGAGTCATTCATACAAATTTTGCGTTTGGATGTGTTTCGCAGATATTCGGTACCTATTTACCTTTTGATGTGTTCGCAACATCGTATTTGTTATGCATGGAAACTTTTGATATCATACCAGGATGTCATGCGACGTGAAAATAAGTCGTTTTCAGCGTGTTTATATGCGATGAAGTTTGCCTTTTGCACACAGGAAATGTTTGGTGGTGGTCACAGCGTGAGCATTTTGGACATGGCTGGCGAGAATCCTTGTTTTTTTTAGTCTGGTCATAATTTCTAGCGGAGTCAACAGTCTTTTGCTCCTACTGTTAACGCCAGACCCCTTGAGACCCTAATTTTTCGCGATTATTTTTAAATGCGTGGAGGAATTTCAACTAAGCTCAGGACATGGCCGTTTCAAGACCTGCCGAAACTTTTACAATTTAGATATTTTATCGCCATTTCAATATTTCAGGCACTTGTCATTGACTCGTAATGTTAAATTTCGAGCAAGATTTTCACCCGGTGTGTAGAGGCTATCACCAGTCAGTCTGTGATACGTTATGACGTCACAGCTAAGCCCCGCCTCTGTGGTCTTGGCCTGCGGCGGTTTCGGGCCGGCGCGCGGTCACTCTCGCTGTGGCGGGGAGCGGGGACGGTCGAAAGGTGCCGAAAGCCGGCGGAGTTGTGCGTAGCGTCTTGGCTGACAGTGCCCAGAGAGCGACATGATGACTGAGGAGCCATAAATGCTCAATGCGCATTGCTTGTACAATGCTGATATGTTCGCTGATATTTGTTTTATTTTTTATAAGCTGCAAATGACGGGCAGATGGCATATAACTGACATAAGGTTAGGAAATATTCACCCGTATTTAAAGCCTATGGCGTTGCAGATAATGCGATAATGGGATGTCGGATGTCATCAAGTAGCTCCTGATTTGTACATCGCTATGCAACCATCGAACAACGCAATGATAAGTTAATTGCCTTCGCTTCACATCATAAGGCTCGCTCGTATTTCAAACAGATACCTACCCTACATCGAAAATCGTATTTGCTAATTGTTAGGAATCGTTAACGTTTGTTCGAAGCACGTGTGAGTAGTAGGTTGAGGAGTGATGGTCCTCTTGGTCCTACAGGGTGAGCCATAAAGATTTACCCATCGAAAATCTAACTTTGTTTCAAGGCGCGCTGACATAGCTATGTCATCTTTTACATACATATGGCAACGTCATCTCCTAACTAATAAATGTAGTCTGTTTTCTGTATGCTTGCATTCTTCTTATGTTACGCGCCCGAGACGCGAGAGCACTATGGCACGCGGCCGCCGCACCGTCTTTTGACTTATTTCCTCGATCACCCATGCTATATCAATGCTGCGCCGTATGTCATTTGCGGTGTTTCAGGGACTCGGTCGAGTCGGGTTTTCAGGATATTTCAGTTTGCGAAGCCCGTGGGGCTGAAGTCGGGGATAAATTGTGCCCAGCATTCTTTAGACCAAGGAGTGTTCAGCAGCCAACACCCAGTGGTGATTCCTGAATTTCAGGAGCGGCGGATGTGCGTTAAGACGACCTCGCATTTCAGGAGCGTAGCAGAGACAATGGACGAGCATTATACAAAATGAGCTACACTGTCAGGATTGGAGACAAATTTGCGACATATATGCAAAAGATGGCATGCCTACGCCAACCCGTTTGGAAATAAAGTGAATTTATCGATGGGTAAATCTTTATGGCTCACCCTGTATATACAAGAATCAACAAGAGCATAACATTTACTTGACCGTCTGCTGCAATTGATTCATAGCACGTGAAGCGTCAGCGAAATTCATAGTCCTTTACAGATGGCATGGGTGTCGTTTGTACAGAGGTCGCTGATGGGCACGGGTCTATGCCGCAGTCGTGGGCGGAGCCTAATGTCATATGACGTATGAAAGCCTCTATCCAGGATGGAAAAACAGTTAACATTACGAGTCAATGACAAGTGCCACAAATATTTAAGTGACAACAAAATGTATTTGAAGAAAAAGTTTCGGCAGGTCTTGAAACAGCTACTTTCTAAATATGGTTGAAATTATTCCACGCATTTACAAATAATCGCGAAAAAATAGGGTCTCAAGGGGTCTGGCGTTAACAGTAGGTCTGTTTGTCGTCTTTTTATACTAAGCCTTTTTTAGGCCAAGTCAAGACTTTAAAAGATAAGGAGTATACGGTTCTTCCTCTACGATAAGTACAGTCCTCAGCAGACTGCGTGGTAGGTATTCTTTTTTCGACAAAACCGATAATTACTTTAAGGCTATGTTATCAGTCGGTCGGAAATCTGCAAATAGATGCGCCATGCTCCACTCCTTCGATTTGGTCTATCACTATACAAAGTATACGCCTTGTCTGGCAACAAAATGCAAAAGTTTGTTTTGAGGGCAAATATAAACTTTTGGGTTTTGTTGCCAAACTGGATGGAACATGAATACGATGATAATGCCAATATAAGGTGCGGAGTCTCGCGCGTCTAGCTGTTACGATTTCCGAGTGACCGATAGCATAGTATTCGCGTTATTCTCGGTTTTGTCCAAAAAAAGAATACCTACCACGCAGTTTGCAGAGGGCTGTACATACATCACGTCTAAGAGGATGCCCGCTGTCCAGTTTGAGCGAACCGGATGCCATTTTTCATTGTTACCCCCTTCTAACGTCGATGAAGCAAAGGAAGCATATGACTCAGTGTAACCGATGAAGCGGGTCTAATGGGTCCCGGCGGGCTAACTTCGCATATCCCCACGTAGATATATTACAGCGGCGATTAGTTAGTATCACTCATCGCTCTTTGTCGGGCGGTGCGAGAGGAGCAAAGTTTGCCGCGGGCACACCCCGAGTCTGCCCGTGCGGCTGACCTCCGGTGACCTTGACCTCGCCGACTGAGCTGTTGCCACGCGGTTGGGAGGCTGCGCCGCCCCCGGGGACTCGTGGCGAGATTTTACCAACGAGCGCAATATGCATAACACGCTCGCATTCAGCCGGCGAGAGATTACGGATCGTGCTGCAGTTATGTAAAGTCAAGATGTGACACTACTAACATGTTAGTGCATACATGATGTGGTTGGCTTTTCTCAAGCCCATCGTGTGCATGTCAAACAACTGTTGACTAACTTCCACGGTCAGCTAGTTCAAGAATTCAAGACGTGCTGCCCAGCTCGTTATTTACGGTCGTTTGCTAGCTTGTGGAAAGTCTTTTCAAGCCGCTCCAATCGAAGATCGAACAGATAATGCTAATTCTGGCTGCCGATTTCTCGGATGTAATCAGGAGCTTTTCACGACGGAATAGCATAATGGATTAGATGTCCTCCCTAAGTTACGGCCGAAGTTGGCTGCTGCGCTCGGGCGGTTCAATACTGTCATGGTGGTGCGTAAGATGACTGAGGAGAGTGCTCTGGCCTATAGCGCGATAGTGCACCCTCGCCAGAAGTCGTGATAGGGCACACTCCTCACCGCGCGCGGTCTTCCAGAGGAATAATCACGGGCCAGAATACCCGGAAGGACGCATTTGCCGGGCGCGCTTCAGAACTTTTCACTAGCTCGTGCACTTGATTACAACGATTGAGAAGGCACAAGACTCAGCGTCGTTTCGTAGAATCGCTAGCCGTAAGAAGAATACGTGAGCTGATCAATCCGCTGTTCAAAACTGAAACAAGACCAATTTGCCAGCGTTTTCAGCATTGAACTAAACGCTGAAGTGTTTTTAATTTATATTGAAGGACTATCGAGGAACTTGAAATTTTCTTATGGTATTATCGTGAACGGTAGTCGACTCGTCAGCTGACTAACGGTTGGTGATGAACTATGACCTGTGTCTGTGTCAATTCGGCCTATTTACTGGCTGTAGGTAGGTATTATGTAGCCGCGTCGCTTTGGGGTCGCACGGGGTATGATCCGTGCCAGTGCCGGTAGACAGATGGCCACCTAGAAGGTCGCTGTATGTAACATCCGTGTTGTTTTTCCATCTATGGATCGGCGGCCCAGCATTCTACTGATGACTGCTACAGTATTGTTTGATACTGAAAATTGATATAATGGTCGCTGGTAGTCTCTTTTTTTGGATGTGTGAAAATATTTGGCCATCATCGGAAAGATGTCATGTTGGTCATGTTAGTTGTGATCACTGCTAAAGATGAATTGAAAAAGCGAGTCCGGATGCGTAGGTGTCAAAAAGGGAGAAGCGGCAGGTCCTCCGAAATTGCCACCACCCTGTCTACCGCTGTTTCTAGTGAATTGGGCTCTGGCATGTGCTAATTATTTAGAGAAAAACGGTGCCTCGAATCGCATTTTTTCGTCCTATCCTCACTGTTCCATCCAACCACGGTTTTGTAAAACTGTTTTGGCGATCTCCTCTTTTTATTGCGTGAGTAGGCTGGCTTACGTGTCCACGCATAATACTCAGTTGCTTGTACCGCTTTTGCAATGTAGCCGCTTTCCACAGCTCTGCGAAAGTTGTCATGCCAGTTTGAGTAATCATCTTCCTATCCGTCTGCAGAGCTGCCAGTTGGTCGGAAAATCGCCCAAATTCCAGCCGATCCGCCTAGACGCTTGGCCACCATCTCCCTGAAGGTCGTTTGTGTTGTATGAGATTAGCTCCAGTGGCGACACGAGTGGTGAGAAGCTTGGAGTCCTGTCTTAGTTGTTACGTCAACGTCTTTTTTATTTTCTGAGTTTATCAGCGGAAGCTGGTTTGCAATCTAAACCCATAACCGGCGGTCATTCCCCTGTGTTTTTCTGCACTGCTATCGGCCATTTCCGGCTACCGAAACCCGCCGCGGTTTCTGACCTGGCGACGGGCCTGGCCTCCCGGGCGCCGGTGGCGGCCCCATCTCCGACAAATCCACAAGTCAGCGTCACGGTGCGCCTTGTGAGCACGCGCGGCGTTACGGCGGGCGGGCGTCAAGTGCGGCAACGCTCTGCCAATCGTGACCGCGGCGCGTCGTGTGTGTTATCAGCGTGGGGGCTGATATATCTGGGCCCAGCCCCCTCGCGGCGTGCCGGCGACGGCGGCGGCGGCCGGTGCGTCAAGGTCATCCAGTGTATGAGGACAGCACTCGTCCCGCGGCGGTCAGTGAGAACTCTGTGTGCTGCGGGCCGGTGTGGATCGTCCGTCTCGGGTGTGAGCTGCAGCAGGGCCTCAGTCTCGCCGACGTGCTGTTGTGAGAGTGTGTCAGAGGGGGCCAGTGTCTGGGACGCAGCCATGGCTCCGGCGCTGCCGTCGCTGGCGGAGATGTGCAGCATCATCGTGCCGCTGCTGGTGCTGCTGGTGACGGTCTCGCTGCTGCTCTTCTACCGGACTCCGGCAGAGCGGCTGCTGCAGCTGATCCCCGGCCCGCGGCCGCTGCCCATCCTCGGCAACCTGCTGGACCTGCCGTTCGGGCAGTCGGACATGATGGAGGTTCTGCGCCGCAACTGCGACCCGGGCGGCCTGACCTACATGCACTGCGGCTCGCTGCACTACGTGCTCCTCACCTCACCTCAGGCGCTGGAGGGCGTGCTCAGCAGCAAGAATGAGCTGGACAAGGGGTACGACTATGAGCCCCTGCATCCGTGGCTCGGCAAGGGGCTGCTCACCAGTACCGGCGAAAAGTGGCACCGGCGCCGCAAACTGATCACGCCCGCCTTCCACTTCGCTATCCTGGATTCGTTCCTGGAGACGATGACCAAGAACGCGTCGGCGCTGGTCGAGCGGCTGGCGGCCGGCGGCGATGGTCCCCAGGAGGTGTGGCCACTGGTTTCTGACGCCGCGCTCGACACCATCGCCGAGACGGCCATGGGTGTGTCGGTGGGGGCCCAGCAGGGTAGCGCCGTCAAGTACAAGGCGGCCATTGCCAGCATTGGTCACGTGGTTCACTCCCGTTCTCTGCGACCCTGGCTGCGGAACGCCACCATTTTCCGCCTGCTGGGCTGGCAGCGGCAGCAGGAGGAGGCGCTGGCGGTGCTCCACTCATTCACGAGGAGGATAATCCGCGAGCGGCGCGCGCGCCGGGCGAACGGTGGCGCGGATAGCTTGGAGCAGGCCGGCGACGGCCGGCGGAAGGCGTTCCTGGACCTGTTGCTGAGCTCGGAGGAGGGCGCGCTGCTCACGGACGAGGATGTCGCTGAGGAGGTGGACACATTCATGTTCGAGGGGCACGACACGACCACTTCGGGCATCTGCTGGACGCTGCTGCACCTGGCGCGACTGCCGGACGTGCAGCGCCGCGTGCATGAAGAGCTGGACGAACACCTGCCTGACGAGGGCATCCCGCTGACGCGCGAGCACCTGACCAACCTCAAGTACCTCGAGTGTACCATCAAGGAGTCGCTTCGCGTCACGCCGCCAGTGGTGATGTACTCACGCACACTGCGCAACAACTTCACTGTGGACGGCTACGTGGTGCCAGCGGGCACGAACATGATGATGCTTCCCTACGTGGTGCACCGCGACCCTCGCCACTGGCCGGAGCCGGAGAAATTTGACCCGGACCGCCACCTGCCTGAGAACGCCGCCGCCCGGCACCCGTACGCGCTCGTGCCGTTCTCTGCTGGACCGCGCAACTGCGTCGGCCAGCGATTCGCGATGCTCGAGATGAAGTCGATGCTAGCAGCCATGCTGCGCCGCTTCAGTTTGAGCACAGAGCAGCAATTCAGCGAGAAGATGTTTTACGTGAGCTTGACGCTTCAGAGTAGTCCACCAATGAAAGTGAGCTTCGTGCCGCGCGAAAAGGCATGAGGCACGTCTGAAGAACTCTATAAGGCACACTTATGGTGTGCTTTGTAGTAGGGTTTGGTGAACTCTAGTCCTTGCGGGGCCGCGTATGGCACATGACAGCAAAGGCTCGGCCAACCTTAGTAAAAGACTGCGATGGCTGGCTGGCAGTTGGTTTCAATGGTTGGCGATCGTCTGTCGTGAACTGTGCTGGCAGATAGAGGGGATATGATAAACATTTCACAATCGTTCAGCACTGAAGGCCTATTTCGAATGGTCATAACCCTCGAGCGTGCGGGTGATTGAGAGAGCAGTACTCGTAATTGCCGCTGGGCGGTCGTAGAGTTGTGGCTCAGTGGAAATGTGCTCAATGTTTGTGTCTGTATTGTCCGCTAATGTGTTGTTAGCGTGTCACATGTGTGCGCGCCACGGGGGAAGAAACACGTTGTGCAAGTGGAGATCAGTGACTGTGGACATGTCACATTGTTAAAGTGGACATCGGTGGACATTTTACATTGCTAAAGTGGTCGTCAGTGTACCTACATCTTGCATTGTTTAAGTGGACATCGGTGATTTGTGCTCAATTTTAATGTACAATTGAGCTTTTACTTGGTGGTGTAATGGTCTCCGTATCCTCTGTTTTGCATCGCTTAGCAGTATTTGGTGACTGATTCGCCAATATTGTCAATTGCTTAGGTATGCAAAGAAAGATGTGTCAGCTTTGCTCAACTCATTCCAGTACAACTCACGCGTTTAAGCTTTCCTTGGAACAAAAGCTGGATGTTAGGCAGTCCACTCGAAAACCTTGCATGAAGTCATCGCTTACGGCTGTTTCCAGGCACGTAGGACGTCCTCCTACGCTCAGAATATGTGGACCAGCTTACACGAATCGTTAAATTCTGTTAATAAATTTAAAGTTTATGTGGAATGGATAGCCTTGATGTTTTGTTTATTTGCTCATTGCGCAGAGAATCGTGACCTCGGACTTTGGTCCCTCACTGCGTGCCCAGTGTTTGAGCATCTGGAAGTTTCTGAGTCCTTGTATTAACCGACAGGTTTAGCAACAGCTTGGTTTGTCTGCTCAGCTTTTAATCTTTGTGTCAAATAGCACCAATGCCATTGGTAGTTTATTGTTTATCAGCCTTAACAGTAATGGTAATTTTATGCTCGTTTAATGCGAATATCCCATTCAGAATCGCCTTTTGGCACCAGCATCTCTAGCTTCCATGTAGGTAAAGCCTAAAAACCTTTTCCAGAAACCTAGCAACTATATTCAATTTGCTTGGCTCTCTCTAAGGAATAGCGATGCCGCTGGGGAGAATGTCCAGCGATCAATGGGAGACGTATCACAATATTTATCGGGGCGGCTCAGTAATGAGCCGGGATATGTCCGACGTCGCACGTCAGTGGCCGCCGGCCATTCAGCGGCTGACGGCGTGACGTCACTAGTGGTGCTGCTCCCGGGCAGAGCGCGCCTAGACAGTGACTGTTCTCTGTCCGCGGGCAGAGCGCGCCTCAGACAGTAGCTAGACACCGCCTCCGGCGCCGCCCCAGGCCTCGGCGACCGATGTGCGCGGCCGGAACCTGGTCCGACAACGTGATACGAATACACAACACTAGCAGAATGTTATATACCTAATGGCCCTTTTTAGGGTCTAGTAGATAATAGCTGTGAAGTATGTGCCGAAAAATTGCGAACAGACATGACACGCTAGGTCTGCCTTTCACACCGTGCAACATGTTGCACAATTTATCCCCATTTTCATTCAGACTTACGGAATTCCTTGGGCATCGCAGTACACCTGTTTCCGACTTGACCAGATTGCGCGTTAAATCATTTCGCCATGCTATATGTAGGCCTCGAGTCAGGTGAAAAGGCAGCGCTCACAATGTGGACTGTCAATCGACTGTTTGCGATTTTGGCTATCTGACACACCCGCTCTCGGTGCCCAGATAATAGTAGATGTCCCGCAGAGCCTCGCCCACAGATACCGAATCGAAACACAAACAACTGGCTTGTCTTGTCACCTAAGACAACACTCATGTTTCATATCAACCCCCAATCGGATATTGCTCAACCAGACCCTCGGATAGAGACGGGTGGGATGGGTTTGTCTTTACAGGACCGTTATGCCTCCACCAGTCCTCGAGCTTTATCCACGAGCTTCCGGGGTAGTGTTTGTTTCACCAATGATAGCAGCACGCTGCTACCACACGTGTCAAATTGGGTTTCCATGGAGACGTCAGCAAGCCCATTGCTCCAACACTACCACAAGTATGACGTCAGCTCGCGAAATGGAAAAGCAGCGTGGTAGCAGCGTCCAGTGAAACACCGCCCTGGTCATACCGTGGAACTAGCTAGCTATGACCCATTCACATGGCGGCCTGGCGGAGCGCACTGGTGCCTCTGATATTGGCCTTGGGTCGTACTCGGAATAGCACTCTTATGCCTGATAGCCCGGAGGCTGGGCGGAGGCCGAGATGTCTGCCGGTCGGCAGCTGTGGCCCACGCGTGGGAGATGGTCGGAGAGGTCTGGTGGGAAGAAATGATGATTCAGAGAGAAATGTGAGGAAGAGAAGGAAGCGGAAAGGACAAGACAGGAAAGGATGGAATGTTGTGATATGTAGGGGTCAGGAGAATCAGGAACAGGGGTGTGGGGATCGAGGGAAATGGTACTAGTACTGACTGTGATAGAGATCAATGATCATTTGGTAGGAAATGGTCAGTGAAAGCAGTGAGGACAACCATGTAGTAGGCAATAGGACAGATCCAACTAGGATTGGGAGGTCGGAAATGGGTGACACCTCCATTGCGTAGACTTTTGCAGAGTACCATTGGCCCAAATTTTATACAGTGAGTGGGTGAACGCATCGTTATAACAGCTCTGGGACATCCCTAGGGAGCGATAGGGCTCCATTTCCACACGCGTCTACAGTCTGACAATGGTCGGGGCTGTCTCACAATCAGGCTGCCCAGTCCCCACCATTTGACTGCTTCATGCCCATGCCCCCGGGCGAGCTGTCTCCTCTGGGGTCTCGGTTTGACCCGATGTAGGTCAGTAATTCGATGACACCCACCACCCCAGCCGCGGTCACAGGTGCCTGTGGGACCCGTCCCTGAGCAGCGTCTTCCCAGCGGCGTCGGCGTGGTACAGAGGCAGTCGGCGCCTCCCGTGGGACGTGATCCCGATCATCGGCCGACCCCGTGACCCGAGGTCACCACTGAAGGCGACAGATGCCACCTGGGGACGAACACGTGCTGATGTGGCGCAAAATACACACCCGTAATTAGCAGCGTCTTGGCCGTAAGGCCCAGACGCCGTAAATCGACTGATCCCATTGGCTTCATTCGAGGTGGATAGCGGATTTCACGCCCAAATACATAGAGTTTACTCCGTGATAACCTTTGTTTCGAATATAATCCATGACGTTTATGATTATTTCGACGACAAACACCAGTTAACCAGGGCAGGAAATAAGGCAACTTATGGTACGCGGCTGTGTTGAAGGTGTGCGGGCATGCTCATTGCTCATACAGCGTACGCCAGGGCAATGTTGGTATCGATGCATCCCATCTCATCTCGGGTCACAGGAGAGACGGAATCGTTCAATACCTGGGGAGGATAGCGAGCAGCTGTTCTCCAGCCGCTCCGTTGGCCTCACTGCTGATCCGGCACCAGCCGTGTGACGGACAGACGCAGACGACGGCACGGGCGCAAAAACGGGCAGAGGCTACAAAAACCAGGTGTTAGTGTCATTCGATGGATCCAAGTGGATAATGATGCATCGGCGTATTTGTATTCAAACACGTATATTGAGGCAGATAAACAATAAAATGTCCTGTTTCCATATATCCTGTTACGGAATCTGTTTGTCCGAGTTTTTTATTTGTGATTTCATCAAACGTGAATCTCGCTGAAGCGCAACATAGTGCAATATTGCATTCAACGTCTGACCATTTATAACGTGAATGCAATATCACGGTAGCTGTGAAAGGAAAAGGCAGCTGGTAGTGACATGTAGACTACCAGTTTTCATTTCCTGTAAGCCCTGAAATAGCGTGGCGTTTGTTTGTAAGGGAGGGGAAATCCACCGGCCAAAAACAAACGGTGACCGCTGCTTTGGTCTCGGTGTCGGTCAGTGGTCTCGGCGTCGGTCATTGGTCATTGTGATGACCGACGGTGGAAGGCGCAGGATCTGCGATGTGCATAATGGGTACCTACCATTGTGAATGAGGCTACAATGGCTTCTCGATAGTGTAATGGATAAACCCTTTATGAGAGGCGTATGGTGGAAATGGGTCACTTTTACTGTGCCAGTGTTTTAATAGGAGTTTGATGTCCAGTTTGGCATAAGATTTATAAAATGTTTTTGATTCAAAATCCTCAGCAGTAATTTCATCGATCGTCATTGAACTGTCCTTATGGTGTCTAGACATCCATTGGTCATAATTATCAAATAAGTGAAGACGATTTCATTCTAACTCCATTTAGAACGGAATTACGTCTGGTCGGCGGTTAATCGCGGCGGTCTCTGCTCGGCCTGTGCCACAGCTTTGTCGAACCACACTCGTCTGAGGCCCGCCAGCTGGACCTCAATCGGCGGGCCTTTGCGGACTCCACTCGGGCCGCGCCGCTGCCTAACGACATTGGCCCGCGGGCGACACGCACTTTGGAGACGCGCCGACACTGTGCGTGCGGCGGGTGACGATCTGTGCGAAGTGTTCCCATTTCGCCGGATGGCTGTAGCGCTGGGGTAATACTCGTCGGGTTTGTCCCAAATAGCCCTGTGCTCGTGATGGTAATGACGAAATGTATTGCCCGCGGCAGAGTGGGAGAGGTCAGCACGCCGGGTACATGCGCTTTGTGTGTGATGTTCGTGTAGAGGATAATCATAATCCAACGAGCACGCACGCGAGCAATAACCCTGAAATGTGATGGCACCCGGTGCAATGATGCAATAAAACTGACCCAGGCCAACAACTGGTCATAACGTACGATGTTGGCGGTGCGATTTCAAAATAAGTTGTTTTCAAGCCCAACCAATTCAGATAATGAGCTCACGCTTGCCATTGAGGCATGCCATCATCCACTCATACTTTGTAGCGTTTCTGTCTTTGTTTCTCCCTTACCTATCCGTAGGCTTGTAACAAATGTGGCCGGCCGTTTTCCGCACAGTCTTTGACGGGGCATTTATTTAATTCTTGCGAAACTCTTGTTTTTGTGTTTTTGGCGAATACCGTTTTGTTTTGTTTTGAAAATACGAACGTTTTTTTAGATACAATAAACTCCGTCCTTTGATATGAATAGTAAGAACTATTTCCCTCCCAAGAGTCACCTCACGACTCACGTCCACCTCGCTCACCTCCCGCTCGTCTTCCCACAGACCAGCTCGGCAAGGAGGTGACGTACGTCATCAAGTTCAACGACTTGGACGTCTACACCCGCGGCAAGGAGCAGTCGTCGGACGGCGCGGCGGCCGAGGCCAGTGGACCGGTCGCCGAGAAAACGTGTCCCCGCTGCGGCCATCCAGAGATGAGCTACGCCACGGCGCAGCTGCGCTCGGCCGACGAGGGCCAAACCATCTTCTACACGTGCCCCAAATGCGCGTGAGTATGGCGTGGGTGCTCTGCTGAGCTGGGGAGGGGTGCTGGGTGGGGTGGACAGGGGGTGGACGACTGTGGACAGGAGTCAGACGCGTTGTGGAACGTGGACAGTGGTTGGTGGACACACATTGTTGTGCGTGAGCAATGGATTGGTGCAACAGGTGGTTGACGGTTGACATTGATCTTTGCTTGGTGAACGTAATCGGTCGCCTACTGCTTCAGTTCAACTCGCTCCAGTTTTCCTTCCAGTGGGCGCTCTCTGTCGCAAAAGAGCGAAGATTATGTTTTTCAGAGACATACTTTTCTGTCCCATTAGGTAATCTTGCGTC